TATTGAATCCATAATTAACGTCAATATCAACGCCTGTACGCGACTCACGGCACTGGTATTGCCCCGTATGGTAGCCAAAGGCCGGGGAGCTATCATTAACCTGTCATCCATGTCGGCCCTCTATCCCGTTCCTCTACTATCCATCTACTCGGCCACCAAAGTATATATCGACTACTTTACCAGATGTCTACACGAGGAATATAAAAGCAAAGGTGTTGTCATTCAATGTCTTATACCACACTACGTGTCCACCAATATGTCCCATAATATGAAGCCGGGTATGTTTGTGCCCACCGCTCATGACTTTGTGAGCCACGCCCTAAAAACGGTGGGCCGGGAGTCGAGAACCGCCGCATACTTTTGGCAACGAATACTCGTTTATCACTACTATTTCTACGGCGATTGGTCGCAAGCCTTAGGCATTGATGTGTGCATTCATATCACGTATAACCGCATGAAAAGCATTTACAATAGGATTCATAGGAAACTTAATGGCTCCAATGATAATGAAAGTACCATGATCAATCTAGATTAAAAGTTTAATTTACTTGTTTTAATAGACACGTTAAACCTGGACAAATATTGAAAATTAACCGCATAACATATAAAATACACATGTTTTATGTAAATTTAGTGTATAATCATAATATTTTAGAAATTTCTAAATTTTTTTAAATAATTCAAAATTATAAAATAATAATATACTGATACTTTCAATACAAAAATTATAATATTTTATTCATTTATCACATAATTAAAATAATACAATAATAACATTTGTATAATAATGTTGAAGTTTGTTATTAGGATCTACAGTACATAAATTGATGTAATCATTTTGTTTTGCATAATTTATTTTTGTGTTTATCTTATTTCTTATGTTTGAGTAAATATGTGTTGACAAAGAAATTAGTGAACAATACGAGGAATAGTGTGTAGAGTGCGAGGCCTGAGGTGACCACCGATAGGGAGGCATCGCAAGGGATTCCGGTATTTTTGTACTCAATTATTGTGTAATTAATATACAATCCAAAAATCATTTGAAGGATTTGTATCGTAGTTATGGAAATACTGACGATAAGTGGTATTGATATCCGCATGGCTTTCAACGTATAGTAGGTATACATAAGTGAATGCGCGATGAAATTCATGGCAACCATCCATCGGGCAGTCGCGGGAACGTCACCGAAAACATACCACGAATAGCATAGTGTCAGCACATGGTGTACCCAATGTAGGGTCAGTAGTTTGCCATTTCATAGTAAAATAAACAGGGTATCAAGTAACTCAATGACTTTAGACCATACAAATAGGTGGTACCACCAGTTGAGCCGTATGTCTATGAAATAGTCTGATCGACAGAATGAAGCCGTGAATCCTTTGGTGTATAAAATGTGTGCAAATTCTGGTAAACATCTGATGACTCCTATTATGGAAAATAGGGCCAAAAATGAGTTCCAAAGCATTAGTAGAGTTCTCAGATTATAAGGCTTTCCACGATATTTCATCCATTGCTTCAAAAGTGGTATTAATATAATATAACCAATGGATATGTACACAGAATAATGCCATTTCTGTTGCATAAACTCCAAGTAATCATTAAAATCTGTGTAATATATCAATATATTTTCCAATTCAGTTACACCCGGGATGTATGAAAGCCCCGAAAATTGAGTCCAATTATGAGACCATTTATTAGGATTTCTATTAATAACGTGATAATTGTTATAACGAATGTCATTGTTTAAAGGATAACACAAAGTTAGAATATTAACTATTTGTTCAAGCATATTCATTGTATAGATGCATTTACAATAGGATTCATAGGAAACTTAATGGCTCCAATGATAATGAAAGTACCATGATCAATCTAGATTAAACCTTTAATTTACTTGTTAGTAAAAATTTGTTTTAATAAACACGTTTAACCCTTGTGAAAAACTGTAAATTAACTGAGTAACATATACCGTAGACATGTTTTATACGGTAATTTACGCAGAGATAATTGTTAAAATAATCCAAATAATAATGTAATTCTGAGTAAAATTTATGAATAAAAATTTTTATATTTATAATTATTAATAATTTTATTATAAATTATTTATGTAAACTATGAACTCATTGTTAGGACAATAACAAACGTTTTAAACATTAATACAATAGTTTCTTATATTATTACGATTACAGGAGGAAAAATAATCGACTAATGTTTGTTGTCCTCCCAATGTCCTCCTGACCTGTCTCAATTTTGGCAATTTGTCCTCCCCGGCTCTGAAAATAGGTGGCAGCCCTACCCGGATTACAATGTATGCGCATCGTAGTTCTAAAGGGTATAATAATAAGCTAACATGTAAGTACTAGATTTGTGGGTCAGGCATTCATTTGGAAAAGTGTTTCAACACTAGTTGCACTTTTAACAGTCATTGACAATGACAATTGACAATCAGTCAATGACTCATTGTGACTCGTATTTGATATACTTAAAATAGTGTTATTTATTTGATATAGCATGATTAAAAGTAAATTAATATAAATGCAAAATAAACTGATTTAGTACAATCATAAGTTTGTCTGACCGAATGGCTATTTGTGTATAATGTAAACAACAAAATTTAAAGAATGGTTATGTATTGTTTAGTGAATACTGTATATTTATTACATGGTGTTATTGTCACAAATTAAGTTCAATATTTTATTATAATTTTTAAATTGTCTGTATGAGAGAATTAGTAAAATAATGAGATTAATTTAATTATAATAGAAATAATAAAAGTTTTTTGTTTAATTAAGCCTTTTGACTGAAATATAGTTCAATAGTAATGGCAACCAATAACTGTTAGGCCGACAATGCTATCGAGTATTATGTAAACTCCGGACAATCCGTTATACTTTTGGTCGGAATCACCGGTTCTGTCGATTCTCGCCTTAACCACCGCCTCCGCGGGACGCCTCCTATCATACGCCCACCCAATCCATGCAAACATATCTATGAAAGCCGTCGCAATATTCCAGTTGTCTTTCCACCCGTACTCTGAGGCCGAGTAGTCGTTGGGAAAGGTGTGGTGATAGTTATGCCAGCCCTCACCCATGGCCAGGTAGTTGAACGTACGAATGTCAGCCGGGTTTATGTGTTTGTCGTACGGACGGTAGGACCAGTGGGTGCCTAAATGGGCCAGGGAGTTCACGAGCCATGTCCCGTGTAGAGACACGATATACCGGAAACAGTTTCCCACAAACGCCACATACCATGTCTCACCCCATAAGACTACCGGCACTGACACCGGTATTATCAGCCATATTACAACAGCTAACGGGTAGTAGTATTTGTGTTGAAACCGGACTATAGGGTCGGCCCATAGGTCGGACATGTCTACCTGTTTGCCCAGACGGGTGACGTCCGGGTGCTTGCGACACATGAGCCAACGCATGTGCGCGAAAAAGAAGCCCCGTTTGGCGTTATGGGGGTCGGCGTCGGTCTCGGAGTACCGGTGATGCACGCGATGGTCGCGACACCACGAGTATATAGTGTTCTGTAGGGCGAGGGTCTGTAGGCCGGCCAACAGCACCCGGAGCTGCCATTTGGCTTTGTATGAGCGGTGAGACCAGAGACGGTGGGCGCCGCATTGGATTCCCAACGAACCCATTATGGCAATTGTCAAACCGAATAACTGTGTTTTCATTGCGATTGAGCCTGTTCAATTTATATACATAAAATAATATTATAAACTATATACTAGGAAATCCCCATTAACAATATTATAAATAATATATGTATACAATTTGTTGTTAATATATGGATATATACAAATTTCTACTGGATGTATTCAAATGTTTCATTTAACAACTTACCATTTATTATTTTTAAAAAGAATAATATTGCAAAAGCGTGTAATAGACCAAGTTTAAACACATTAGACCAAGCAACTCGTAATTTAATTTCATGTTGATCATCATCATGTTTATTGTTATTATCTGTAGCTTTGTTTTCATTAATATCAAGCTGGCTACAATTTTTAACACTAAGAATTCAAATAAAACATTATTTATTATATAAGCTATGATACAAACTATGTTTTAATAAAATGACAAAGTTACCGGAATACTTAAAATATATTCATTTATATAAATTAAATAAAATGATAAACTTTATCAAAACGATATATAGATAATTAGTATTATACCTTGATAAACTGTGACCTGGTCCCGAAATGTTGTCCATATAATTCACTTAACAATTTTATTTGATCAATGTAAAACGATATGCACATCAATATTGATAGCGATCTATAAAATGAATTATTCTAAGATAATGTAGTTTTATAGTACCAGTACTGAATTGTATAGCTAATTATTTTATATAATTTATATATGGATTAAAGTTTGCAACACCACTAATAATATAGTGTAAAATAATTTTTAATTTTTTTGAAGGTTATAGAGAATGACAATTTATTGTAAATTATTTATCAACTATTAATGATTATTCAGGTATAATTAATATTAGTATTTTCTATATATTATATATTCCGATACATATACATTGTTATATAATAATTATGTCTAAATTAGGTTTATTAAATTCCAAGAATAATAAACAAGTAAGTTGTATAAATGAAAGAATTTACATAAAAAAGCATTATAAATTTTTCAACAGAAACTGTAAATTATATTTAGTACTTAAGTACAGGCAAATATCGACACTAAAAACCATTTAAATTTTAATATAATTCAAGTTATCTTTATTATTAATAAGTTTTAATTTGGATAAATTAAAAATAACGTTTAGTAATCAGATTAATTAAAACTTATTAATAATAAAGATAACTTGAATTATATTAAAATTTAAATGGTTTTTAGTGTCGATATTTGCCTGTACTTAAGTACTAAATATAATTTACAGTTTCTGTTGAAAAATTTATAATGCTTTTTTATGTAAATCGATAAAATGTCAATAAATGCATTTTTAATTAGAATAATAATATCATTATCATAAAATAACTTCGGCAAATATTATTTTACTTTGTAATTATCATAATTGATTTTTAGTACAGTATTACAGGTCTAAATCTGGTCAATGATTGCGCCGATAAACCAGTTATTATTAATATTTTGATTTATGGAAATTACTTTTATAAAATTATTATGTAAGTTAATTATTAGTTTATATTTTTGTTCCTCCAGTAAATTTAATATAAAGTATATAAATAATTTATAACTGAAAAAGCAATCCTAAAAGGTTTTTCAAAAAATGCTTTAATATCTTAAAAAATTGTTTTATTGAAAGTTTAAAAGTTATCAAGCATATACATGGTTTATATAAACTTGAATTATTCTACAACCTTACTTATAATATTAAAAATATCTTCATATTTGTCTTTCTTTCAATGTCCCGCATCACTTTGAGTAAACCTGAGTAAAATAACATACCTTGGTTCTTGTCCTGACAACCCCTTTTGTGATAATGGCTTAAAATCTTCATTATTGGTGAACATTTTGGTGTACTGTTCACCAAAATATTCAAATGTTTAATATTTTAATTTTAAATAAGAAATACTTGGTTTTAAAAAGACTATATATTAAACTGTTCATTCTATAATAAATTGCATAATAAATTCCATATATATTTCAGATGTTAAAACCTGATTATTAGTTCATTGACAATATATCGGATATAAAGTATATGGTTAAGTTCCCAATGCTATTCGAGAAGTTAAACATACTAATAATTAACTTATTTTAATAGCCTATTATTTTGTGGTACTACATGTACTATATCTTTATCAAAATAGTAACTTAACATCTAACTACTATTAGTATTATATATGTTACTACTCACAATCTTGTATTAAAATATAATATTTCTAATATTCCTAATATTAAACCCCTAGCCAGATAAAATATACTATAATTAACAAAATGCATAATTATATAACAAATTGAACTTAGAGTAAACGTGTTTTTCATTATACTATAAATTGTAGTGCTTGTACATGTAATTTAGTATATTGAAATTTCTTAAAATTGCTTTTATAGTAAAGTTTTATCTTAAGCATTTTTGTGTTTGAGCTATTTATGGTATTGTGATTATATTTCTAAATTATTTTACTCTAATACAATAATAAAATTAAACAAACAAAAATTAAAAATTAGTTTATTTCTGTATAGAAAAAATCTACAAAAAATGTGTGAAACAAGCGATGAATGTGCAGTGAATATGCGAAATGTTGGCTATAGTTATAAGTGATCGCAACCGGTGTTAACACAACTCACGACTCAAATACCAAAAGGTTTTCATTCATTGTTTCATTAGTTTTGCAATCATTTCAACATTTATTGACTTTTAGGACAAATCTATGCGTTGTTGGGCTCTAACGGCTCGGGAAAGACCACTCTATTGGAGATAATATGCGGTCGACTTACAGCACATACCGGTTCTGTCGAGGTGTTTGGCCACAAACCGGGACCCGATAATACAAACACGATCAAATATATTTTATTTAAATAGGATACATTGTAATGTTTATTTAAATTATGCTAGAACAATGTGTAATAATACAGACACGATAAATATATTGAACATTTAATAATTCTATTGACAACTCAATACAATTATTGACTTTAATATATTATAGCATATTATGTTGAACAATAGTTAATAAAGCATTATTGCATATAACTTGCACATTCAATAGAAAGGTATATATACTACACATAAATCTATGAATCACTCGAGTATACATTGAATTCATAAATAAATTGCAACCAATTTTTAGTTAATTTATCAATACTTAGCCAATATATCAGTGGAAAGAAACTCCTTTGAATGTGCAGTATATAGGTTTAAAGCTAAAAAGCTTACTAAGTTGTACTTATGTAGCATACTCATACTTGTTATCAATACTCATAATCAATCTTTTTTAGCTTTAAACCTATATCTCTGTTGATATAATAAAAAGTACATTTCATAAAATCTTTAATATTTTAATCTTCTGAGTAATACCTATGGAAAAGCTTACGGAAACACAAAATTGTATGAATTTCAAAATGTACTTTACGTATTATCAGGCCTCATATACTGCACATTCAAAGGGTTTTCTTTCCACTGATATGTATAATATTTGGATATATGCCTTAGCCTATTACGGATTATCCTTGCAGAATTTACTTACATCTCACAATGTTTCCTAATAAATAATATTGTAAGGGGTTTGTATATAATATAGGCTTATATACAGGGACATTTATTCTAAACTTTTAAAATTAATTTTATAGACAATTATCCATCAGTAACTTTATTTATGTAATACCACTAACTCTATAATCCTTTCTGTAATAATTAATAATCTGTTATGTAGCATAGTTGTTTAAGAGATCATATAAATTATTATTTTTAAAAAATATAGGTATGCATCATAGCCTTAACAATACCAGCATATTTTGCATCCGGACTATTTTAGCCATTGGAGTCAATACCACTCGTATTACAGTCGGTGTTACAGTTTATGCCACTAACCGGCGCCACAACTGCCATGCGCTACGTCACCGCTAATGGTGTTTCGGCGTTGACTCATTTTGACGTACTTTATGGATGTGCACTATTATGCTTATATACAATAATCTTTACAGTTTATAATATTTTTAAAATTAATAAAATATAATTGAAGATTAATTTAAATTGTTAGTAATTTTATTGACTTATCAATTAAATGTTTGAATTATTGTTTAAAGTAAAGGTTAACTGTTATTTTTATATTTTATTTAATAATTTACAATACAGATTGTTGTTTTTGTAGGATAAATTTAACATTAAAAGCTATGATAAATTTTTTTGTTTAATTTGGACATTTAGCGCAACTTATACAATTTCAAATAAAATGATGTATAATTAATATATCGGGGTCCTGTCGTATCCGATCTAGGTTATTTTTTAAATATTTGTAATTCAATAGTAAAACTTATTCTCATATCTTATAACATCTTAAACCCTGATGATGGTCCCAGTGTTGAGACAAAAGTTGATAAAATATCTTAATTTTATATTTATGTCATTTTCACGGATACTAAAAATAAATAATGAAAACTTATACTCTATATAAAATTACAATCAATTAATCGGTTTGTATAAGAATTATAGCATAAGTGCACGAAATGTTTAAAACAGTGAAAAACATTTTAATATTTATGCAGAAAATATCCGCGGCTTTAAAGACCAACCGTTTGCGAGCTATGGATAAAATCAAATCAAACTTCTGTTTATCGGCAGCACTGGTAATCCGGATGCCATGAGCACCGGTACCGGCAATCCAGGACTCTGTGACCAGACATAACTCGTCAGCGGCGGTGACAATACGTTGAGAGCACTGGCAGGTAATGAACTGATCGGTCAATACAGTCATGAGTTGAAAGCCTAGACTTATGGGGACTAACGGATTAAACGGCTGTCGGTTTAGGTTTTGGGCGAAACTGAATATAAGGGTCGAGGTGTAGATCCCGGTGTAACAGATCTTTACAAACAGGGCGTACGTAATGACTGATGATATCTCACGGATCGAGTCCCGGAGGTCGACCACCGCATGGCATATATGCCCCACATATTCGGCGCCCATTTGTTTCATATGATGGGTGTGTTCGCGGATTTTGGCGACATATAAGTCCGATATAATCATGAATAGGACTGTTATGCAACTCATGTTGACATTACTCATGAACCCAATTATAAAGT